GGTGCCTCGTCCTCTCCGAGGCGATTGCCGGAGCCTCTTGAAGTTGGGTTCAGAAGTGTAGAATTGGCAAAGTTATTGCCAGCTTCCTGGTAAGTTTCGGGTGGCACAGAGTCCCATTATTTTCTGACGGTGTAAAGGCCACGTTGTGCGAGGGTGGTTTCTCGGTAACTTCCTCTTTGCAACCGATGTCATTTTGTTTTTTGGAACCGGAGCAGACTTTTATTTAAGTGAAATATTAATCCCCCATGGCAGCTCCAGGGAAGCCAGGCGTGTGTTAACGTACTCCGTATTTTTGGAAGTTCCTAATTTGCTGAAACAGACATCTGTGTGCAGTGGCAAACGGCATAAAATTGGGGTCGTGAAAAGGATGTGTTCTGTGTAGAATTTGGGTTGTGAGGTCTTAAGAGAAACTGTTAAGTTATCTAACACTGTCAGATAATTTTGATGATTTACACGAAAAGTGTTTGCACCTAGTTAAATTAAGATTTTTTTTTTCTGTGTCTAGAGTTTACGGTACTTAACAATTTTGCACTTTGCAGGCACTAGGGATGAAGTTTCAGTACCTATGGGATTTACGGTGGACTTAGACTTTATTTTCCAGTCAACCCTGTGGTGATCCAAACATTTTGTTAATAAAATATGGTGTGTGAAATGATGTGTTATTTTTAGCCCTGACTCTTTAGACTGAACGCACCCCTCCCCCCAATATAATTATATTTCCTTTTTCCCCTAAAGAGTCTTTCCCAAGTTTGATACAAGGTCCCATCATGGTGTTTTTATTCACTTACCTAAACCACCTTGCAATAAATACTTTTATTACACACTAAAGACTGCTAGTGACTTTTTGAATTTTCCAGTGTGATCTGTGTTCATTTTTGTTAAATAAGAGCCATATTCCTTGGCATTTTTCAGTAATCCTGACTTCTTGGGACTGTGTGTGCTCACAATTTTAATAAGTTTATTGTCTGGGGAAGTAGGGCAGCTTTGTCGCCATGAAAACATCGTGTAGGTCGGATTGTCTTACGGGAGTTGATGGCAAGGTTCCCAAATTATCATTGAGAGGTCTAGAAATAGTTTGCCTTTACCTGTGGGGGAGGGGCAGCAGAAAGAAAATACGCCGAGAGTGGTTAGGCATGTGATGTGTGTTTATATTTTGCTTTTCTATCGAGGTTTTCCTGCTTGTGTGGATATGGTGTATTTGTTTCTACTGTACTCAGTCACAATCATTAAATCAACTGCTTTTTTTGCCTTTTGCATAGATTCAGGCCTATAGAATTTAGGACAGAATACAATGTATGGGGGATGAAAACAATATGTGCACGAAAAAAGTTTCTTACCTTGAAGGAACACAATTAAGGACTTACAGATGGCTTAAAAACTGTTGCAAAGCTCACCATCAGTTGGGCATTTTTATTCTGCCTTACCAGCTTTGGTTCTTAATATGGGAAACCAGGTGGTAAAGTGGAAGGGTTCTTTATGGAGGCTGTAGCTTTGTATTGTTTCAAGAAAGTGTTAAACACTTTAATAACTTGTACGTACTGTATGTCCAGGAATCTTTTTGAGACTTGTGTTCTCAAAAGCTAATTAATGTTTTCACATGATCATTACCATGTTGCCTGTCTAACCAAGAAATAACTGCTTCCTGTATACTGGGAGCCTTTCAAGCAAAGGAAGGGAAAGGGCAGTAAACGGAGGGTTTACTGGTAAGAGGGGATGTGATTAATAGAATTTTGGAACATCAACCTGTTGAGTAAATGCATTAGTTCGTATAGCAATGCGAAATGAATGCAGCCTGGTTAGATGAGTGGTTGACAGAGGAATCCCCTTCCACAGCTTGTGGCAGGATTACTGAGAATTTCTGACTCAACACTTTTAGGTGGAGTTATGTGAAAAATGTGTTGGGTTTGTTCAATTTTGGAATTATTTATATAAAAAATACACACCACGAATCGAGGGAGGTCAGAGGAGGTTTGGCAGAAGTACTGGCTTTCTCTGGGACTTAGTATTTTTCTAGTACACGTGAATTTGACTCCACAAGTAATATTTACAGTATTGATTATTGTCACTGAAATGCAGAAAAGCAGCTAGCAGGAGACCTATTTGTATTTATTATTTGCGTGGTAGAGAAGAGTTGGGACCCTAGGGACAATGTAGTGAAGAAATGGTGTGAGTGTTGTTCCCTGTGCAGGTCACTACAGCAGGGCCTTAATGTTAGCAGCAGCAGCAGCAGCAATATCAACGGTTCTGTGAGAGAGCTGGAGATCTGGCTCCTTACTGTCTCTGGGATTGTGTTCATTAAGTGCACAATTAATTACCCTTTACTGTAGAGCCAGGAGATGGGGATTCGGCCTAAGTTGCCCTGTAGGTGATGTGAAGTGCTTTCTCTGTCATTCATAACACAGGCTAATCCTGTGAGGTCGATAGTGTTGGGCTTTATTTGTGGGTGATGAAACAGAGGTGCAAAGAATTTAATTCACTCGTGCAGGCCACAAGATGTTTAGAGGCTGCACCAGGATTCAAACCTAGGTCTGTTCCCTAGTCCCTGTTCTTTCTAAATGAGCCTATTAGTGACAAAATTTCACAGATGTTCTGTTGGTGGTGTGTAGTTAGCCTTAAACTTGTGTTTTTAATCAAGTTTGTATTTCTATAGTTGGGCCTCTCTGCTATTTAGGTCCAGTGATTGCCTGGATGGATATATGAAATTCTTAGGATTCATATCATTGTGCTTAACTCCCTAACACAATTTAATAAGATGCTGTCTTCTTATAAGCTGCTGTATTTCCTGCCTTGAGATTGGTGGGGGTGAAGCCTCTAAAATACTGCCATCAGAATTAAGAAAATATTCCATACTGTAAGGAGGAAAGCAAATAAGCGTATGATTTAATTATCTCAAGAAATTATTCCTGAAAACTTGTGTAAGGAAAGTCGTTTAAGCTTTTGTGTTGTATAGTGTTTTGAGCCAGGGTCCTTGAGGGGGAGCTACCTTTGTTGGAATTAAGGCTGTATCCCTTACTGGCTGTGTGACCTTGGGGAAGGAATACTTTGTCCTAGGTTCTTTACTTGTGTAATGGGGACAGTCTACTTCATGGAGTTGAGACATTTAAGTGACTAATATGTATGTGTGTTTGACATACCAAGCATTTAAGAGGTAAGAACTGCTGCTGAGTTTGATTTTGAAGTTCACTTCTTTGTTTTACATTATTATTTTCGGTGAGGGCATAATGTCACAGAAAACGTTTGGCAGTTCTGTTTCCTGAGTTGCAGGGCAATGTATTTGAAATAAGTTTAGCGTGATTTATTTACTCTGAAAAGGTGTCATTTCCACGTGTAATGCTTACACTGAGAAGAATTAGATGGACATTAGAACTGGGGACTGGATGTAGGTACAGTGGTGGCTCTTTCGCATGCTTTTCTTTCTGCTCTTTCAGTTGGGTTTGGATTTTTAAAAATTACAGCATTTGAATCCTTGTCAAACTCTTTAAATGAAAAGGGAACTCTCGAGGCTGGATCCAGCAATATAGTCTGCGCTTTAGCTTGGAGTGATCACTTCAGTAGGTCTGTTTTCCCCCTTGCCCTCCCCACTTTCTCTTTCCTTCCCTCTTCCTCCCCCTTCCCCCTCCATGTCTCCAACTGGAATTGAACCCAGAGATACCAAGCAGAGTGAATTCTTTGCACCCACTCCCCGCTTAAAGGTGGTTTTGAGGAAGGATTTCCCTAAATCGCTGGAGTTGGCCTTGAAGTTGCAGTTTGTCCAGCCCCTGCCTCCCAAATAGCATATGCCACCACACCTAGCTCGCCTGAGTTCTTGTTGCGTGTTTTAAACTCTGTCAAGACAGTTCTTTGGTCTACAGCATCTGTCGAGCTTGGCTTATTTCCACCTCTTGTTTTTTTTAAACGTTTAAAAATTTTTGATTGAGTAATATTTGCTACTGATAAAGAGTTCTGTGTGTCAGGACTATATTGGGGCTTAATGAGTATGTGTGACAATCTGGACAGCTGATACCCTACATTTAATGGTGAATAAATAGAGGTTCGGGTAGTAGAGGGGCAAGAGTAGAGATTTAGGCCCAGCTTTGCTGACTACTAGGCCAGTGTTCTTATCCAGCAGTCTGCTGTCCTCAATGAATGAAGAACAAGTGACTGGTTTTAGGTTTTGGTTATTGCATATATTTTCTGGTTGGTTGTCCTGAGCAACCTTTCTTCTCTATCCTGTCTTCTGTAACTTCTGACGGTGTAATTTATTTAAAATACTGGTTTTATCATGTCCGCTTCCCTGCTGGAGAACCCGTAATGGATTCCTTTTGCCAACTGGATTGCTTTCATATGCTTCATTCTGGCGTTTAAAGCTTCGTTCTACCTAGTCAGCTTTATTTCCCACTCTTCCCAAACTGGGATTCTTGCCTGCCTCTCTCATTCTGCAGTTTTTCCATACTCATTACTTCTCTGGTTTTGTTCATGCTGTTCCTTTCATTTGTCCTTTTTATAGCTTGGTTTCAGCCTCGCTTCTTCCATGAAGCCTTTTCTGGCATTTTGACTCAGTTATTTCTTTGAGATTCTGCTGCAGTTTAATGAGTAGAACATATCCATGTCTGGTCATTCTTTCATGGATATGTGTCATGTTGCCTCAACTAGATATTACACTTCTTGAAGGACAAAAACATTTTTCTTAGTAGTATTTGGTGGGGATCTTGGTTCTTGTACCAGTTTCATGTTAAAATGGATTGTTTCTACCAGGGCTTCTGTCAACATAAGAGTAACAGTAACCCTGTTCCTCAGTTCGTGGCGTGACAGGATTCTTTGTTGAATTGCACTTCCAAAGTTTAGGTATGTTACTCATATTTAGCTGTTTCCCTGGATGATAATGCTGTCATTTGGTGAGGGAGAAAAAAACTTGGTCAGTTCTTGGAGTTAAATGAAAGGTAGGTATGTCATTTTGATTCTAGTACAGTATATAGTAGCCACAGTATTGAGGTGAAACCTACTCTAGTCAGTCTGGTCACGTGAGGTTGACTTCAGTGGTGGTGAACCTATGGCACGTGTTGTTTTTCTTTCAAGACAAAAGATACTAACGTTAAGAATTGTATTTTCT